GTAACTGTGGTGTCTGAACGTAACTGCACGTAACTGTGGCGTCTGAACGTAACTGTGGCGGTCGAACTTGTCTCATGTGAATTGCATTTTCTTTTCACATACAACTTTTATTGAGTCATAAATCTCACAAATAATGCAATCATGGCTCAATAAAGGGCCAATGTGACTCTGATGACAGCGTGTGAACAATAAATCAGCTGTTCTGTGTACGTCAAAGGTCAAAGGGGCAATCCTGTACTTTCTGCTCCCCTGGCGAGTGTCCCTGTCCTGATTGATCAAAAATCCATTAAAGCCCTCAGGAAAAAATAAATTTTATTCTGAAGAAAATGTTTGGTTTTTCTTTCTGTCTTTTTGATAGATATACTAAAATGACCCAAATAACATGATTTGTATTTGTGAAAAGATGTATTCATGTATTAACCTAAACTGTGACAATTTGGGCTTGAGAGCTGATTGGCTAAGTGAGGCTGGTATGGAAATGTGTCAAAGTTTCCTGGTTATGTTGGAGACCTTTTGGGCTCCTTTGAAGTGCCTTTGAGGGGGGCCACGAACCCAACAAACAAATAGTCTGTATCCCACTCACTTCATACCTTCTCCTTTGTTGTGTCATATCATTTATAATAATCTGATTATTTTTATTTCTATTCACAGCTAACCCTCGAAACTTTCAGCTGCTTCTAGAATTACAGTACACTGTTATTTACTTCAGATACTTTGGATTCTCAATGCAGCAACAAAAACCCTCTGCTTCCAAGTCAAACGATGTGTGTTGTTGTGTTATATTTTGCTTCCTCAAATCATATAAAACATAAAAATCAAATGCGTCTATACTGTAGTTTCAGTGGCTAAGTCCAGGGAAATGCGTGCTTTCGGGAATGAATGTATTCAATAAACCGTACATATATATAGAATCGGCATCACTACCGTAAAGTCTCTCCCTGTGTTTAAGAGTAGCTGTTTCAGAGCAAACCTGTGGTCAGCCCTGAGACCGGAAGACGACAATCATTCCACAACTCTGATGCATAATACATGAGCACAGGAGCAGAATATTGTCCAACTGTCTGAGGTCGAAAATATCCGCGCTCCAAATATCACACAAAACTGATCCGTCTCCATTCTCTTCTTTAACTCTTCCATCAACTAAACTCTGATTACTTCAATGATTAGAGTAAATTAGCTTTGGGTTCTTTTGTGTGTGAGAGAAGGAAAACAGGACTTTAATCTGGTCTGGTGCATTAGCTGTACTGTGTGCTCAACATAATGTAATTTTTGCTTTACCCGCAGAGAATCCCTATTGTTCCAAGGCACAAAGCCGACTGCTTATTGCCTCGCATCATTTTACCCAACTTAATGGAGCGGCCGAACAGCAACACCTGGCGCCCTCGTGTTCTAAAGATAGCAATACAGTAGCTTTCATTTTAAGACTGCGTTCTTCAATTCCCTGAGAAAACAGAATAAATGGATGAAAGCAGCCCATTAAAACATTTTAAATTCACATCACAAACGTTTAAATTCACATCTGCTCTATCTGAGCATCGGTGATTGTCATTAGAGGGCTAACAGCTCAGATAGGGACATGCAGCAGGATAAGGCTGGACTCACACAGCTCTGGGGGGAATCATTCTAGCTGCAGGGAATAACCCAAGAACAAAGCCCACATATCATATTGCCTGTTATTTTGGCCTTTTAATGGTTGTTGTCAAGGAGAGTATATTCTTTATGCTGGAGCCCAGGGTCAAGACCAAAATCTTTTAAGACATGAAGAAGATGACATAGTCTGGGATCGCGTCTTTCATTCAGACAGAAGACATGTTTTATTGTCGATGGTAGAGACAGCACGAACAAAGCACACGAACAACAGATACAACAGAATGCAAGTGTATTATACAGAGCGGAGGCATGGAGACCTCCAATCAGCAGCTGCCACGGTGTGCTTGTAGCTTGGCCTTCAGATAGACAAAACAAGGGAAAAGTACTGGCTTCTGCACATTGATAGATTGATGAGTTTAACTTTAACAAAAGTTGCTTCAAAGTGTTATGAAATCTCACAGACAGACCATGTTCCTGCCAATATTTAGCTTATTTAGCTGTGCATATTGTGCATTTATGTTTTATTTTCTACGTTATTTTTAACACATATGGATTTGCACTGTTTTTTAATTTCTGTTTCATCTGTTTTATTGAGTTGGCTTGTGAAGGACTTTGGGTTTAACTGTATAAATTGTGTTTTATAAACTTGATTGATTGGATAATTATTTTTTACACATTTAGATTAGAATATATTTTTAGGGTAGTTTTTATCCGGACAGGCCAAGCTAAACAGGTAACTGCAGATAGAATGTACTGTCTCCACTAAATAAGCAAATGACAAGACTTCAAGCTCTAATATAAGTGATAATAAAAAAAAATTATTCTCAATCTCAAAACATTGGATGAAGCTTTCACAGCTCTCTTTAAACCAGTTTGGATTGAGTTTCTCGAGTCTATGCGCTCTGCAAAACACACTTCAATCATTTGAATTGTCTCATAATCACAAATGTAATCCATTAAAAGTCTTACCCGTAAAAATACCATGTGACTGACCAAAATATTGACCAGTTAAATGTCCTCAGCGGACTGTGTGGTTTCCATGGAAAAAACAGCAAAGTGGAATATTGACGACGATCATCAATGCAAGGTTTACTCTTTGACGTCACCGACATGGGCAATTATCATTTATAAACTCAACTTGACAAGATGGCTGTGAAACCCTGGACTAATGGGAGGTAAAGGAGGATGAGGCGCACTCCCAGAAACATGCAGTAGAACAACGGCTCATATCTCCGTTAGATCTGCCACAAATACATTCCATACAAGACCAAGGAAACAAGTGACGAGTGTTCAGAGATCTGTTCCGAAGGATCAGAGGAATGTTGTAATGCATTCAATACACATCCAAACAAGAGGTGATTAATGACAAGTGCCATATGAACCAAGGAGCACAGGGACTGGCCTCCTGCTGGGACTCAGAGGAGCACAGGGACTGGCCTCCTGCTGGGACTCAGAGGAGCACAGGGACTTGCCTCCTGCTGGGACTCAGAGGAGCACAGGGACTAGCCTCCTGCTGGGACTCTGAGGAGCACAGGGACTGGCCTCCTGCTGGGACTCAGAGGAGCATAGGGACTGGCCTCCTATTGGGACACTGATGAGCACAGGGACTGACCTTTTATTGGGACACTGAGGAGCACAGGGACCAGCCTCATTGGGACACTGAGGAGCACAGGGACCAGCCTCATTGGGACACTGAGGAGCACAGGGACTGGCCTCCTTCTGCGCGTCTGAGAAGTATTGGGACTGACCTCTGGGGTTAGAACTAAACATGGGGAGTAGCTCCTCTTTAATGTACTGTGATTATTCATGAATGAACTATACAAATAAACTTGCCACGCTAACAAAGGTGTACATTTGCTGGGACCAGGACTAACACATTATTTATTATTGTCATATGTCATTATGACCATGACAGAACTATAAGGTAAACTTCACAAAACAAACAGTCGTGCCCCTGCGCTCATGACGGACTAAGCCACAGCAAATATTTAACAAGTAATCAACATTTATGATAGTTTATGTAACTTTCTCTCTCGGCAGGTGCTAATAATATATGCAAATGTCTTTCAGCTAAATATCCTTTTTTAAGACTTGTTCTACGGACCCAACCTTCTCCAGTTTTGTTAAAAGGGTATATTACATTTCACTACTTTGAAAAGTTGAATAGACTTAAATGGGTTTGAATCAGAAGCTTTTGTGCATTGATTGTTCCTTGTACAAAAGGAAGGGAGGAGAATTTGTGTTAACATAAAGGAGGAAAACAGGTTGTTTCATCATCACAACTTCATTTTCCGACCACGTTTCTCGCACAAGCAGACAACAACATATGAGTGTAATTATCAAGTGCCATTCAACTTCAGCTTTGAAAACACATTGCTGAGAATGAAGCAATCCTCTCGGGCTTACAAGAGGAGTAGTTGCTCAAAATCAAAATATACAAAAGTGATGCAAGCTCATCTGAAGTGTTTCCGTAAATGTCACAGCCCTGAGCAAACATCACACCACAGTCATCTCCATAAAACACCCACGAACATTCAACTACTAAAGAGAGAGTCCTGAAAGTCAAACGAGACATGGGGTAATGTCTGAGCAATGGCTTCCTGAGTGCATTCAGCCTGACAGCACATACCGATGCAAACAAAAACATGTATGATTGTGATTTATAGAGTCCTCGTCGCACATTAGGTTTTGTACTAAAGTAAAGAGATTGTATTGTATCAGAATGTCGATTAGTAGTTGTTCATAGGCTATTCCCACTATTTGTCTCCATCTTGAACTGCTGGGAAAAGTCGATTAAAAATAAATCATTCTTTCACATTGAATTTAACATCAAAAAGGGAAAGAAGTAAGGGTGTCATTTTAGAGAATATCATTTTGCGTTTGAAATACTTTGACCAACTAATAACAACTTTATATATAATCTATTACATAATCATCCATTATTCTCAATTCTCATTCATATATATATTATAAATCTGCACAATACTTATTTTTACATTCATCCATTTTAACAGACAAATTAACTTGTACCTGGTTTGAAAAGGTAAAAACTATTAAGAATGTTGTGCAATGTCTGGCAGTAAACACAATATTGACTTATATTTTGTGCTTAAATATTTACCGTCTGAAAAATTTTGTTGCCATAGCGGAGCGATGAGACTTGACTTGTATACTTTACAGTGTTTGAAGTAATTTAATTAACTCAGTTAGTTCCCGTCATCACTACGAACGATAGACAATAAAGTTATTCCATTCTATTCTTTGACTTTGACTAATAATTGGATATCCTGTTGGGGGCCACTAAAAATGATCTTGCGCTATAGTCTAACATTGATTTATGTCTTAATAAGTATATTATGTGAAAAGCATGCTGTAATAGGACACTGTAAAGGATTCTTGGAAGCACTTACAGTTAGTGGCAAAGAGCAGACAGCAAAGATGAGTGTGATGAGCGCCAGGAGAACCAGGTGATCCATCTCCTCTTCGCCCTGTCCGAACCAGGCCAGACTCATCCTCCTTCGCCTCCCCACAGTCACCACGGAGCCCCGCCTCTTTGCGTGGCCCCTGTGCATCTTACACAGGCTTACAATCACAGAGCCATTGCACAAAAACACGGCTAAAATCAGCAGTGCCATGAAAGAAGAGTAGGATAGAGAAAATGCCAGGACTAAGCTGTTGTCTTCTGAGGCATCCATGTCGATGAAGCACCAAGTTCCTGGGCAGTACTGGCGGAACTTTCCCAAACCAGTGTATGGCAGTAAACAAAATACAAATGAGAAGAGGTATATAAATAAGAGTACGTATTTGGCAAAGCGGCTTCGTATGTGGATGGAGTAAAAATACGGATGGCTTATGGCGAGGCAGCGCTCCACAGCCATGGCACACAGGATGAGAGTTGGTGCTAATCCGAAGAAGCTCATGGCAAAACCAAAAAGATTACAGAGTCTTTCTTCTCCCAGGCCAATGAGCGACATGTTGCGGGCATAGCAGATGAAGACAGGTGGGCTGAGGAGACAGGTTCCCAACAGATCTGTGAGAGCTAAACCAGTGACTAGAATACAGAAGACGGACGATCTGGATCTCTGTTCTCTCTGATGGACCACGAGAATGAAGAGAGCCAGCAGGTTTCCCACCACTCCGGCCATAAACATGACGATGCTGGTTGTGGGTTTGCCGTCCTTGCTCACCATGAGGGTAATGTTGCTGCTGATGCTGTGGCATGATCTGTTTGAAATCATGCTTCCAAATAATTCCAAATTGGAGAGGATGGATCAGTGCGGTCTTAGTAAAGAGTATCCAGACAAGAGAAGGAGAGAGGTCTGACCTCTGGAAACTAACATTGGGCCGGAGGAAAGGTGTAGCTCCATGATGAATCTAGTGCATCTTCATACTGTCAGGGTATAGAGCAGGAGAGAGTTAGTTTACATGTCAGCCTGCCTATACTGTACATGTGTTTGTCTTCCACCCCTGTTTAACTCAGTGTATCTATCGACACAGGCTACAGACATGTAGAACAAGCCTTCAGTTTTATATTCATTCATTAATGCCACAGAAAACGTTGTGTCTTTAGCCAAGACATTTCACTGGTCAGCTGGGACAATGGCAAGGATTGGAAACCCTCCTGTCTGCCCTGGGGTGTGTGGAGAGCAAAAAAAAATGCATGAAGTGAATTTATGAAAAGCACTCCACAGGTTAGTACCGACACAGGATACTGTGTAGCTCAACTACATCTCTAAATAAACGCTGCTTTCAAACTTGCTTACGTAGAGTTAGAAATGATCAAGATAGGTATTTTCTTCTTTTTTTTTAACCCATCACTAGATATACCACCAGAAGGAGCATGGGCAGGCACACTGTACTTATTATGCACCACAGTTTGAGAAACGAAGGCAATCATTTGCATTAAACAGACAGCGAAAATGTAGGCATATGAAGTGATTAAATATTTTTACCTTTTAATGTCACGTCAAGTATGTCGGTTTATGACGCCAATGGGGAAAAAAGTATTCCTTTAAAATGGAGTTTAAAAGTGCCGCTGAGTCTCGGTGCGCCCGGTGCAGAGTGACAGCTCAGAGCGCTCCGGGCTCTTGGCTCTTGGCTCTTCTACCCCGCCCCCGGTCCTCCCGCCCTCTGGTCATCCCTCCCTCCCTCCCCTGCACTCAGCACAGGCGCTGTGCTCAAGCTGCAGACACAGCGGATCGATCATATGTTGCCATTTGAAATATTATTCTTTTTAGGCTTTTTTCATTTCCTAAAAGCCAAGAAAAGATAAGGCCCACGTAAATCAAAGACCTCATTCAATAATTCAATGAACCAATAAACCACTTGGTATATTTGAAGCCTTGCAGTGGTTATTGTTTTGTTTGTAAAGTTCAGGCTATTTTTCAACAGGCTCAGCTGAAGACAAATGCTTTAGCTGATCATCATTAGTCATTTTTGTAAATGTTTCTTTTGGCCCAGGACTTACATGTATAAAGGTGGTCTGATTTCTCATCTGGTTTACATTACATGCAGCTTTTGCTTTCAGCTCAACTGAGAAGAGAAAAGCCAGTGTATGCACTGGTTCACCTCCTGACATTTGTTGAACCAGAAGCCCACAAAGATGCCGTTCTTGCCTAAAGCTGGGCTACCTAACTTTTTATTTTTAAATATTTTGACTGTTTCAACAGAAAGAGTCTTGTAAAAGAAACATTTCTGAATAAATCAGACCATGACTTCATCTCCTTAGAACATACAAAGGGCATGTGAATTGCTGCTAAAGGCGTTGGGCTGAGATTTTCTGCGGGAGGGTGGTCCTCAGCTTTTAAGTTTAATAGATGTTGTCTTATAGTTCCATCAGCTGATGATAAACAAACACAGACCATACCACAAACGTTCACTCTTTCATAACGTCATCATTCCACGGTAAGGATGTGTCAGCCTACTGAACTTAAAATGAAAGACCAGGGCCATTCTCTTCCTCTTTTCATTTTCTAGTCAAGCATTGGAAACTTCCATAGTCTTTTGTGTAGTCTTCTACTTTTATTAAAAAAACAAGGGACAAGAAAGTCTATTTCCTATTATCAAAAACTGTGTATCACTTTTGCTTTGGAGATACCAGAAGAAAGCGAAAACTGCGAGGACTGGTGTCAGTCTGAGAGAGAAGCAGGCCAAGAACCAGGAAAGGACATATATATGTGTGTGTGTGTGTGTTTTTGTTTTTTTACATAATAAAACAAAAAATATAAGCATGAGACAGTTGAAGAACGACAAAGAAGAATATGTTTATTATGTTTGTCACAATAATTACTAAATTGACTTTGTGTCTTATGGATGAACTCTGCTCTGTACTCAATATTGAGTTGCACCAGAGGAGTATTTTCATTTCAAAGTGCAATACAATTTGAACCTGACGACCTTTGACTGACCATTGATCCAAGAAAGATCAATCAGAGATTGGCCATCTTCGTTAACCAATCATTACTGCAGCTCTAAAGTTCCATCCCCTTGAAAGCAGTCGAGGTCCTAAAGTAAATGAATATTTTCTTTTCCCCACAGACTTTTGAAGTTTTGATTGTTTTTATTTAAATCTGCACACATTAAACTATAGCTCTTGTTCATGGGCCCTATATGATAAAATGTCTCACTTAAGTTTGGATGGGGTGTTTACTTTGTAGAGACAAGAGATGAATCCAACCATGACTCTAACCCTATCAATCCGTGTATCATTCGTTCTTTTGATTTTCTAAATAAAACCAACATTGAAAAAACAAATAACGAGGGATGTTTTTGATTCTCAATATTTGAATTTAATGCAAAATTGAAATATCGGTTTGTTTTTGGTTTTCTGTGGATCCAATTAAAACGAAAATGCAGTAAACCAATAATGATCGTCTAAATTACTTTTTGCAATTTCCATTTGAAACACAAGAATCCCCCGGAAGTGATTCGCAAGTGCGCCCCCCGCAGGTAAACAGTGGAGTAGCGGTGGAGATGAACTAAATGATGGGTGCGTTGGAAGACTTTGCAGATACAGCGACAGAATGGTTCTAAAACATTCAAACATATGCAGAAATATCAACCACGTTACACCGACTAGGTTTGTCCAAATGTCAAGTCATCAGCTGAGTCATGTCCCTTCTTTTTGATACAGTGGTTAATCACGAAAGCAAACTTTTTGAAGTGGCTCAGAGAAAGGTATTCTGAGTAAATGTATTCATTAAACATGGATCATGTTCCTGCCCAATATATACATACATATATATATTTTTTACATATCAGCCGCCTTAAAACTATTGCTGCTCCATCTCTTTTTCCTGGAATAATTTTATTGCAACATTCAAGAGGGATTCTGTCTCCCGAGGCTCAGGAATCACAGCTTGTTGTGTTTTGGCAAATTATGAAGGCCAAAGACTAAATTCATCATGTATGTAAATCTTCTGTGTGTCTGTTCCAGTGTAAATATTTTTGATTTGTTTGTTCCCAAATTAAAACACACTTGGACACAATTCTGTACATTTTTTTTCTAAATTGTGTTGAATAGCAATGGAAAACCCGTTAAAAAACAAATACTAACTGTTAGTGGATTATGTATCAATAGATTTATGAATTAGGAAATTACATTCTTAACTAAACAAGACTGTAAAATGACAAGTTGTGTATTTGAATGTACCTTTACAGAACAACTTACACCTCAGACTTTTTTTCAGCAG